AGTTTTGATTTCAAACCTATTTGAGAAAAAAAGTCCAAAAATTCAGCATCATGATTAACAGGCGAAATCCGATATTTGCGTATAATTTGTGAATTCTTCAGTTGCTTATAAGGTTGGGTAGGTACGAAATCTCTAGTGATGTAAACCTGTCGACCGCAGCAGCAGGATAGTACCGGCGGAGAATTAGAGCGATCCTTTCTCAATTTTCCTTGATCTATTGATTTCTTATTATCAAAACGATCTGAATACTTCCTTATGGCTGTGCTCAATTTGTCAGAATCAGCAATCGAAGACCGGAAGTGTTTCTCCTGCTGTTTCTTAGGTTTGCGGTTTTTTAATATATCGCCATCTTCTAAACGAGAACTGGAACGTTTTGGCGACCGGTCCGGGTATTCGCTGAGGCGATTGTTGCTCAATGAATTTTTAGCAGTTCTTATCTCAAGGGTGTCTTGAATTATCATTTTCTTAATTTCTTTCTTCCTGTTTGCTAAATTGACTAACTTCTGGTGCTCTGAAAGAAGTTTAATATTGTGTTTTTTGAAGTACTGTGCCGTTACCGACTCACCCCAGCTGAACATACGTGGAAGATCTACCTCTTTTAGCTCTGGGTAGTAATGTCGAACGAGCTCGTGAAAACCAATGCAACGCAGTTGAAGAAATATGCTCTCTAACTTCTCTTGATCCGGTAGTACAGTATGATACACTGCCAATAAAGATGATTCCGAAATGCTTGAATAAATCCTTGACGAACAGATTTTTTTGACATTACCAAACATTTTGCGGAATTCCTTTTCAAATTTATGTGTAATCGTATTTAAAAAAATATTCCAACCCGATAGGACTTCTGATTTCGGATCCAGCATTTTCCGTTTTATATCTTCTCTCAAATCTAGATATTTGTGGTTAAGCGCATATTTCAAAGTTTTAAAAATTTTCATGCCGTCGTGTGATTGACTCATGAACTCCTGTAAAAAATTTTTAATGTGGCGTTCGTCAGTGCACTTCTCTACTGGATTTCGTGTGTGTTTTTGCAAATACTGAATGTAGTTTATCAAAAACTGGTTGTATTCTTCATGTGACTCAAGGACTCCACGAAACTGAAAAATAAAATTTGTGAGACGTGTAGTAATATAAATTCGTTTGTATTATATTAAATTGAAGAATTACAGGAAAGAGCAGATATTCGAAGGATAATTAGCCTTATTGTAACATAAGAAAAATAATACACACCTGCTCTTAAGCCTGGATGGTCTTAGACTAACTTACCCCTAACTTACAATTACTGGCTTCTTGGCCCATCCATACTTCCACACTCATTCTACATTCTTCACTTTTGCAATCTTGCACGAATAGCCTTGTCTCTAATACTATAACTTAAGGCACGCAGTAACAGAAACTAGCATAGGCCACTTTCATCATCTGGCGACAGTCTGTTGACTAGTTTTTATTACTCTGCCTAATCCTCCAATTTACAACATCCTTGAAGGTATACTTTACGACTAAACAAAACATTCCTGGGAGGTAATATTTTTCACCTCTACAGACGGTTCACTCTTCAGATCATACTTGTAACTTCCCACTAATTCTATATCTAAGCGCTCAATTTTTAACTTCCTGCTAAGAAAATCGAAGATTTTCGAAAAATCGGGAAATTGTTTTCACCCCATTTTGCAAAAATCGAGCTTTCAACAGATCTCGACGTTTTGAGGCTTTAGAAATCTTCCCTGACCCTTCCCGCGATGGTGTGTGTGTGTAAACCTCTTATAACTTTTGATTGGCTCAACCGATTTCATCAAAACTGGTGGCATTCGAAAGAGCTTAACTGAACTTAGATTTCCTATGAATTACAACCAATTCGGACACGTAGATTCCAAGAAATCTCAATGAAACTAAGAAAAAATTTTTTTTCAAATGTGGTTTTTTTTGAATAACTTTTAAACGGCTCTATCGATCAATTCCAAAAACTAATCAGCTCTCAACATCAAAAAAACCTGTTGATCGCCGCTGGGCCAGTCAAAATCAGTTGATTCGATCACGAGATATCGTTAACGAAAAAAATCGAAAAAATGGCAAAAAAAGTGTATTTTTTTAAATAACTTGTAAAATTCATATCAGATCGATTTTTTTGCAATGAATTATTTTGTTGAGTTTAAAATACTGCCTCGATCGCTGCAAAATACATAAAAATCGGTTGATTTATTCGAGAGCTATCGATTCGGAAAAATAAGCAAAGTGGCAAAACAGCGTATTTTTTCAAATAACTCGTGAAATTCATGTCAGATCGATTTTTATGTAATAAATTATTTGGGTAACTTTGAAATACTGCGTCGATCGCCGTAATCTGCATCAAAATTGGTTGACTTGTTTGAGAGCTATCGTTGACGATAAAAATCGAAAAAAATTGATTTTAAAAGAAAAAATCTAAAATATCATATCTGATTAATTTGCGTTCACAAAATGTTTATAGGACTTGAAAAACTGCATCGATTGCTGCTAACCACGTGAAAGTCGGTTGATTCATTCTAAAGTTATTGCGGTTTAAAAATTCAAAAATTAGTGTTTTATTAAACTTTTACCAGACTTTTGAGTTCGGAGAGCTCAAAATGATACGAAAATTGTACTTTTGAGCTCGAAGAGCTCAAAACTGTAATAAATGCCACTTTGAGCGGTTAAGTATGAAACTAGCGGGAAGTTGCGAGATGGCCTTTAGGGTCAACCGTTTTCCTAATTTTTTATTTTAAAAAAAGCGTGGTGTGCTTTTTAAGATATTATCGTAATAATAATCATTTTTCTCATATTTCTCAATGATATATTTATAACTATTGACACAATGCACCCCACGCTTTTTTAAAAGTAAAAGATTCTTTTTATTTACTCTATTATTAATTTATATTTATTAAAATTTTTTAAACTATTCGTAATTCAAATTTATTAAAATTTATTTTCTATTTTTTAGTTTGGTTTTCTATAAAAAGCGTGTTTTATATATATATCGTACCTTTCTTTCTGCTGACATCGTGGAAAAAAAGTATAGTCCAACGTAGCTGAATTATCAATACACGATGGTGAATAATGAACTTAAATTGATAGATATGATTTTCTACGATTTAAATATAATTATGGATCACATCTGATAGCGACTGAATCGTCGAGTAAAGTCTTACAAATGTTAAGGTACAAATATTGGATCAAGTATTGACGAAATAAATATAGTTTACAGAACTACATACAAATAAGCTTAAGATACGAATTATGGAGGGTAGAGGTACCCTCTACCCTCCGTAATACGAATGCAGACTATAGGTAGCTAGTGTAATGTCTCTCGACGCATCCAGCAGATGACGCTACCAGCCAGTAAAGTACAAATTTAAATGTTTTGTTGTGAATCCGAAAGGATTGATCACAACGCTTTCTGAATTAATTATAAAAAGATGGCTGCAATAAATGACAGCGGGAAAAACCCAGTAAGATTTAAAATATATGTATTTTATTTGTAAAAGTATCAGTAAGAAAATAGAAATCTTTAACGTAAACCTTTCTATTTTAAATTCTATTGTTAAGTATGGGAAATTTTCCATCATAAATTTTAGGGTATAGACGAATTTATAATTACCGGAAATTCTCAAGGAAAAACTTATAAAAACTTTTAGTACTATCTAGTTAGTTTAGACATGCTAAGAACAATCTCTTTGTTAAAATAAACTTACGTTAATTGTAATGGTCACTTAGGATAAGATGCCGAACGTTTTGGAATACTCTTTATAATGCTGGGAAAAACCCGGAGATCCTTTTTTTATTACTCTTTTTATTGCCATAATCCTTTAAGTAACTTATTTTCCAAAACGTTCGCTTAAAAAAGGGATTGCTCGAGTTCTCAAGACTAGTTCATAAAAACCAGGCATCCATGCGGGTTGCACATAGCCTGAGAATGTCGACTCGCCGTGACGTCATCACGGCATAGTCATAGTCCCATTTTTGCCAACTTGAGAAGGGATGCTGGCTGAGGACAGGAGTCGCAAAGGCGCGCGCAACTACCCTCACTACCCTCTGGCACCTACAAATCAACCAACAATGACATGACAACGATGATTTTCTTAGTCGAAGATGGGAACGGTCGGGGGCAAGTGGTTGGCGTTGGTTTATTGGCTACTGAAGAACGTAATGTGCTAGAATAGATGATAAATGCCTTTAAAAAAGACAATGAAAAATCGTGTAAGAAAATTAAGGCCTTTATGACTGATAAGGATTTGACAGAACGTGACGTTTTGAAGGAAATATTTCCTGATGTTGCCACTTATATATGCCCTTATGGAAAAATTTCTCTGAAAAAACTCTGACAAAGTCTTGAGAAGTCTTAATAAGTCTTTTAAGAAGTCTTACTTTTTCTGAAAAAGGCAGAAAAAGTCTTATCATTGGTGAATAACTCTGACTAAGTCTGACAAATTCTGAAAAAAGACAAATATTCTCTGAAATTTGGGACTTTTGAAAAGAGTTATAAAGACTTAATAAGACTTTTTCAGATTTATTGGATTGAATAAATTAAGCAGAATAGAGAGACTTTTTCAGAGTTTTCAAGTATTTAAAAGACTTTTTCAGCAATGACTATTCAATGAATTAAAAATACTTAAATAAAAAATCACACTGTTGCAATAAAGATAATTCTACTAATATTTTTTTTTTTTATTTTATTTTATCGTAAATTTTTACTTACTGACAATTAATCTTCTTTCCTGTTGCACAGTAATAGAATATATTTTCGTTTATTTAGTAATTATTTATATTTTTTTTTTTTGGTATCTGTATAAACAAAACTGACTGTTGCAATAGTTATTTTTTTTATTGCATTTGAATACACGTTATCGATTAGAGATTATTAAGAATAAATTATATAATTTTATTTCCAGCATGTTGGTTGGGTTGTTACAATTAAATTCACACCAACACCATTGTATATTTAAACTCATTTAAGCTCTATGCTAATCTTAATATACTATCCAATTATGACATTCATAAAGACACAAGTCTCTAAGAAATTGGTAATATTTTTTCATAACTTATTCTACAAATACATTAGTTAACAGTAGCTAAACAAGGTAGGTTTGATGTCCCGATAAAGTAGATTTCTGCATTACCGACGGTTGTTGGTGGAGTTTCTGCGATATCGATGGTGGGTTTTTTGTGCTCTTTTTACCGACTGTTGTGGGGATTATCGTCGATTTGTTGGTCGATATTTACCGACTGTTATGGGGATTATCATCGATTTGGTGATCGATATTTACCGACTGTTGTGGGGAATTATCATCGATTTGTTGGTCGATATTTACTGACTGTTGGGTGATTATCATCGATTTGTTGGTCGATATTTACCGACTGTTGAGGGTGATTATCATCGATTTGGTGATCGATATTTACCGACTGTTGGGGGGATAATCATCGATTTGTTGATCGATTGTTTGAGGTCAAAATGCTACCACCTCAACAGCAGAGCTGATACCTTTACCGTGTATCAGCTTTGGTGTTGATGTTATATGCACTTATTTGATGTGATGATGAATTTTGTATATATTCAAATGACTTGTAGTATAAGTATATGCGAGAAAGATCGATACTTACAACGCTCCGGTGGGATGAAATGTAGGTATTGAAGTCTGATTATCGATTTGAGGTAAGTTTTATCGACAGTCTGATGTCAACTAGTGACCTAAGTTATCGACAGTTGGTATTATACCGAGTGATGTTCTGTTTTGTCGATGTGGGATAAGAGTTTTTTGAATTTTAACGTTTTTTACGTCGTCTCTTCTCTCGATTACGCCATGTTTTTACGTCATCCGACAAGTTTAAACCTGTTTTTGGCGTTGTCATCATCGTTGGGAGGGGAGCGTTGGTGGGGAGTTATACTTACTTGCCTCCAAATTTCAGTCCTCTGCCTGCAGTTACTTCAATCAGTCGTTCAGTTTAAAAAAATTTTGTGTCTTTTGTTAAAAATATTTAAAATTGTGTACTCTACAGAAAATCAAGTAAGTCATTTATTTAATTATTCTATTTTATAACTAATTTTTATTATTATTATTATTATTAACTATTTTCTATCAATTTCTTAGCTCAATAATTCAAAAATGGATTTGAGTGCTATCAATAAAATCAACAACTTACCGAACTTTTTACCAACTAAGAAGTTTGAAGAGCTGCAACTGAACAAGATTTATCAAATCACGGAAATTAAGAAAGTCAACACAAAATATGGACCAAAAATTCTGGGAATTGTGGAAAACGAGTTTTCAATTTTCTTCCCGAATCGAACCAACCGGATGCTCATTGATGATGAAGAGCAATTCACTTCACTGATCGATTTGGCCTCAGCAGGAGAACTTCACTTGAATTATTTCGGAACAGCTTATCACAAGTTTGAATTTCTTATCAAACCTTCATAATCAAGAATAAATTATAAATTACTTCAATTAAATTTATGTTAAAAATGTACTTATATATGTTCTTAAAAACTATACTTTAAAATAAAAAATATATACATGAAAAATTAACAGAAAAAAAAATTTTTTTTATTTTATTTATAATTTCAATTTTTTTTTTTTATTATTATTATTACAAAAACATAACATTAATTTTTTAATTACTTAAAATTTAATTACTTAAAAATCGAATTTACAATAATCTTGGTCTTTTAATAGTTTTTTTCAATATTGGTAACTTTTGTGAACTTGGTATTTCATAACCCCATGGTAAAGTGTCTGTACTATTTTTGAGAAGTTGACGTTTGTCATCTTCCCAACTTAAAGCTAGTTTCGTTTGAAAAAGTGTATTAACTTCATGATTTCTACTTTTTATAACATATTCATCTTTTGTTACTCTTATATTATCGAATAGGCATTGTCTATAATCATCAAACGTTTTAGTTCGCAAAGTCGATTTTTTGACACCTTTTGCTCGCATTTTAACCATATCATCTTTTATTTCTTCATCAGACTCATATGCTTGAATTTGGCCTTCTCCAGATTTATATATTTGAAAAGCGTAAAGTTTTGCTCTTAATCCAACAAATTCCGACATAATTTTACCATTATTTTCATCTTTCATTAATCCTAAGACTTTTTTATTTACTAATGGAATATTGTAAATATTATTTGGTGGATAGTCAGAGGTATCAAACTTTGCAATATCACGTTTGATGATTTCATATATATTAGGTACAGTAAAGTGATAAATTAGACTATCTGTATCTGTATACATTAATTTAGAATCGTCATTTTTAAAATTTTTCTTTACATAATTATAATGAAAGTCATATATATAAGTTTTTGACATATCTAAAATACAAAAACCAGCATAGATTGGTTTATTAAAATTAACTTCAGCACATTTCATTTCAATAATAATCATATTTTCATCAAAAACTGTAAGACTATGGAAATTTGGTTTACAAATCATATCAGAAGCACCATATCTACCAGACCATCTTGTAACTATTCTAACATCTTTATATTTTCTAACATTTTCCATAGTCTTACCAAAAACTGCATTATTCATTAATTTATAAAAATCTTTTTCAAATTCATTTTTTGCAGCCTTTCTACAATCAGTATTTTTATCTATATACGGTTTTAGCCATGGTGACTCTGTAAACTTTAAAATTCGGTGTACTTTTGTCAATTTTAATCCCAAGTCTAAACATTGTTTTAAATTTCTATAGTGTATTACATACTCTTTTTTATCATACAAAGTAGTTGCTAATTTTGTATGTTTGCTGTCTGGAGGTAAAAAGTGTTCAGGACATAAAGGTAAATCTTTATGTAGGTCATATAATTCCTCCGGATATTTTAGATCAACTTCAAGTATATATCCAAAACCTTCGTTATTATATAAAAATTTATTAATTTCCTGATTTATATCGAAATTTAATTCAACCCAAATGAGCCTGTTGGTAAAGGCATACTCATAGATGCACCATACAAATTATTAACATCAAAATACATTAAATAGGATTCTGGTTTGTTTGAATCAAAATTATCACCCATATATCTATTATTTGCTAATGCATATCTATTTGTACACTGAGAAACACCACCTCTGACACCTTTTTC